GCCATTTGCTCCGGTCGGACAGGCCGCCGCCATGGCGCACCTTGCACTCGGAGTCCACAAACAAGCGCAGCGTGCGCAGCCCGGCCGGCGCCGACAGGCCCTTCACGACGATATTCTTGGTTTTGAACGCTTTGAGGCCGGAAAACTTCACGGTGACGTCGGGCTTGGCTCCGCAGGGCTTCTCAGCGGGCGCGTCCGCCCAGACGCCCAGGGTGAAGGCGGGGGTCGTGCCGACGTCGAAGTTCGTGACACTCGCCGGCAAGGAGAACTTGGCCGGCGCCGCCAGTGGCGGGTCGGGCGTGAGCGACAAGGCAGGCCTGAAGAAGTCCCCGGGAAAAACGACGAGGTTGACGTCCCCGGCTGCGCGAGCAGTTGGTGCGACCACCTGCGGCCTGTTCAGGCTCTTTTGCTGCTGCGCCGCCGAGATCGGCCGCCCAAATCGATCCCAGGTGGCGGGCGGGGCCCGAGCGGGGGCTGTGGCGGGCGGTGGGCATGGGGCGGGGGAGGAGGGCGGGGGAGTGGTTGTCGTCACCCGTGGGTGGTCGAGTGACGGAGGCGTGAACTCCGAGGGGGCATGCTGGGTCATATCAGCTGGGTGTCCAAGCAGATACCGCAAGGCACAGCCGGGTAGGAGAAGCGGGGATACTGTAAGGCTGTGATGCTGGATCTGTTGCGAGCGCTGAAACAGAGGGAAGCAGCAGGGCGCTGGACCCCGCCAGGTCACTTTTTGATGAGTAATCAAATCACTGAAAAGGGGGTGCGTGCATGCCCGAACGGAAGTTTTGCGGCACGCGGCATGTCATGAGCTTACCGGATGCCGCCGAAGCGATGGTCAGTGCAAGGAGGAGCACGGCTGACAGCACCGTGCCGTGGTTGCGGCAGGCGGGGCTGCAGTGTTGGCGAGAGGGGTTGCCGCGACGGCCATTAGTCAGGGTGGGCCAATCTCTGCTGCGCTGGTGTTCTGTGCTGCTCAGCATCGGGTTATTTTTGCTGGCCTTTGATCAAGGGCGGTTGGCAATGCGCAGCCACAGCAACCCAGCGTTGGGCTGGTTGCAAACAGGTCATGGCCAGCGGATGCACCACTGCTGCTGCCCTTGTGTGTGCATTCCACTCCTAGCCGCTGCTCACCGATTCATTTGCATAATATTAGTTGACGGTGACGACCAAGAGGAGCGTCGTCGCGTGTGAATGAAGGACCAGCTTTGTCAATCTCCGAAGCGTGGCTGCCGTGACCGCAGCCTAGTCGCATGTGCGAGTCAGAACAACCAAAATTTAACGAGTTAGTAGTGGCGAAAACGCATCCCAAATACTCAGCACTCATCAGCGAGACAAGGCCGTGGCCGTCACTCGGGTACGAGTGACCCTAGCAGTGATTGCGTACATGCAGAGGCTCAGGGGATGATCGAGACCACGCAACGCCTCACGGTCTGTTTCCCATCCAGGACTGTGCAAAGCAGCGAGGTTCCAATGCAGGCGTGTGTTTCGTCAATGCACATGTGTGTTGCGCGCCGACCACCGTACGACTCCAAGGTAAATGAGGTGTGCTTTCGTTTCAATGCAGATGTGTGTCCATGATGTGCTTTGCAACAAACAGTGTGGGAGTCTGGCAACAGCGTCATCGGGCAGGCACTGAATGATTGTGCGATGGCGCATGTATGGATGGGCCTGGCTCTAGTGGAGGGAAGGCCGCTGCTGCAGCTGGACAGCCCAAACCCGAGGATGCCGCCGCCTGGCTGGCACACTACAATCAAACTTTGATTTGGCGAGCCCTGTACGCCAGCTCTCTGAGGGCTTTATTCGGGGGTGTGCCCGCAGCTGCCTGGGTGACGTCACCGTAAACGCCGCCCTCGTGCGTGGGCTGACGTGGCGCGAGCCAACCCCAGGGTTGATTGATGTCAATGGTCGATAAAAGCCAAGGCGGGTCGGACCTGGAGATGTGCCTTCGCTTCTGTGACTCTGTGGTTCAGCGCGAAGGCATATGTTTGTGCCACATCAATCATGAAAGTATGGCCTCAACGACTACTGAACACCAACCAAGGGTTACATGACACGCAACCAACCCGGATGGCAGAGCGAGCACCACGGCTAGCTGGGACAGCATTGCGCCACAATGACAACAAACCACCTCCCTTAGTACCGCCCGCGCCCCCGGCCCCTGCCGCCCCTGCCACGGCCGTCCCCCATCCACCCAGGCCCGCCGCCACGCCCCTGGTCGCCCCCAAAATGCAGCGGCCCCGGCCCCATATGCTGAGGCGGACCGGGACCGATGTGGTGCTGCGGCCCCGGCCCATACGGCGGCGGGGCCGGCTGCTGCATGTGCGGGGCGTGCTGTGGGTAGCCGCCGCCGCCGCCGCCCATGTGCCCCGGCGGCCCGCCATGGGGCGGCATGCCGCCGCCCGCAGGCGGGCCCCTGAAGCCAGGTCCTGGCGGCAAGCCCACATGACCGCCCGGGCCCATCCCTGGTCCCATGCCTGGCCCTGGCCCCAGCCCCGGACCCTGCCCAAACCCCGGCCGCTGCTGCGGGAAGCCGCCGCCGCGGCCGTTGAACTGCTGTTGCTGCTGCTGGTGCGGTTGGTGCTGCTGCTGCTGCGGCGGCGGCCCAGACTGCTGCATGTGTGGTGCGAACGGCGAGCCCCGGCCGCCTGGCGCCATCCCTGGCGACTCTTCCCGAGGCCGCTTCAGATCCTGCCTATCGCCCTGCCCCACCCCAAACCCTGTCCCCGGGCCGCGCCCGCCAACGCCGCCGCCGCCGCCGACCCCCTGGCCTCTGCCGCCCACGAGCCCCGGCGGCGCGCCGCCGCCGCGCCCGCCGGCGCGCGGGCCGAGCGTGCCGGTGAGCGAGCGCGACGCAGACAGGCCGGGCGGCACGGCGCGACCGGCCGCCGTCACCACGCCTGCGGGTCGAGGGGCGCGGCGGGAGGGGGGCTCAGCCGCAGGGCGAGGCGATATGGCGGTCATCGCATGGGGTCGGTTGGTCGCTGCCGCCGCCGTGCACCGGGTGGGCTAGGCCAACAAGTCCGCGGTCCTGCCGTGCCCGGGAGCCGCGCCGAGCGGCGAGGGGTCGCCGGCGGGTGACAGGCTTCTGTTTGGCGCCATGCAGGGCAGGGCAGGCCGTTGGACGCGGGGCCGCGGCAGAGCGCGCCAGATCCGAAGAGTGCTTTGCCCACCCATGCAGGGCCCCTGGACTGGCACCCGCATTGGCACCCGCATGGGAGGGACGCGCGCCCAGGGACAACACCATGCAGGCAGGGGCAAGCATAAGGAGGTACGGTAGCGAAAGCCCAAGCACGCGCCTGGCGCAGGCATGCTCGCGTCTCCCAGCGCGCCCAGGCCTGGGATGCCGCCTGGCCCTGATGCGCCCGCCGCGCCGCCCAGCCCCGGGGGGCCGCGCGGGCCGCTCGCGGGTGCCGCCGCTAGCCTGCATCGCGTGCCGCGTGAGTGGTGGGGCGGTTCGCTGTTGGCGGGTTGTCGCAAACACACGAAAGAAATGCATCAGAGCGTCGGAGCAGTGTGCAAGCAAGCGGTATACACCTACCTTTGAGGGCACCAACAGTTAAACTTTGCATGAGCGCATGCGCAGTAAGACGCCGCGCGACTGGCCAGCACACTAGGGCCCTACGAACTGCCCGAAAGTCACACATGCAACCCGCACACGCATTGCCCTGGGATCACCCCTTGCCACAGCCCCGTCAAACACACATATGCACGCATGCACACACACACACACGTACACACACACACACACACGTACACACACACACACGTACACACACACACAGCCGCACGCACCTCAGCCCCGGCGCCTCTGAAGCTGCTGCTGCGTATGACGTGGCGCCCTCCTGCTGCTCTTTGAGCTTGGTGTCCTGCCAGGGGTCCCCCGGCCGCTGGCGGCACCAGAACTTGATGGACGCGTCACCACCGGCTGCACGAGTGAGTGTATGAATGTGAACGAGTGGATGTGTGTATGTGTATGTGTGTTTGTGTGTGTGTGTGCACACGAGCACCTTCATGCATGCAGGGGTGGAGGTGCGTGCACAAGCAAATGCAGGCATAAGAGAGGGCACAGACGGATTGCACGTGCACGTTTTTGCATGTTCGCGTGTGAGTGCACACATGTGCTGCGTTTCAGGGGGCGCTTCTGAACGAAAGACCGGCGATGGGCTGGTCGCTCCTGCCAAGGTGCGGCTGCGCCCGCCACGCGGCAGCAACCCCGCGCCGCGCACGCAGTCCGTCGCGCGTCGTCAGTTCGACCCCACACCGCGCCCCTCGGAACCTACGCCCAGCCTGCTGGACCAACGGACCGCCCTGCCCGCGCGCACCTGACGCGAGCACGTGTCCCAAGGGGTGGTACGCGAGCGCCCATATGCTGCTGTCGTGCGCGCCGGTCACCACCGCCTGCGGCTCGGCCTGGCCGACCAGCCAGTGGCACAGCGTCCCATCAAACGAGCCAGAGACACACACCTGGGGTTCATGTGCCGTTGCAGGACAGCGCGCAGTGGGTAAAGGGATGGACAGGAATTGACCGAGGTAGGGCCACGGTGCGTGGGAGGCCGGCGTCTCACAAAGGCCGGAGATTAGAGCGCCCCTCGAGGCAGCCAGTCTGCCCCGTCCCGCGAGGCTGCCACGCCCGGCCAGCTGCGCCCCGCCGCAGGCGGCCGCCGCGCGTGGCTCCTGTATCGCTAAGACTGTCACATCAACGTCGCCTATATCTCAGTCTTATAAATCGTTGCCTGCCATAGGATTCCCCGGTACTCTTGACTCACGTCCTCGTGAATGGGGTGCCACTCCGCAGACAGCACGTCCCTTGAGTGGCCCTGCAGCGTCTGCAGCTCCTTCATTGTGCGCACATCCCACACCTGGCACCGCGGGCGGGGGCGGTGGAGGAGGGGGCGTGAGGGCTCATGTGCGAGTGGATGTGCGCGTGCTGCAGGGAGATGGGGAGGCTGACTTGATGGAAAAGAAGGTGGAGTGCACAATCAGGCTTGCCAGGGGTGTGTGTGCACCGAGTGCCAGAGCTTTGAGCGCCGCATATGCTGGATTGGGAATGTGTGTGCACGTGTGCGTGTGTGTTTGTGTGTGCACATGTGCGTGTGTGAGTTTTAAGATTTGCGGGCATGCATTCCCGTGTGTGAGCTTGCACGTGAGCCGGAACGATTGTTAAGCAAGGGTATCAAGCAACAAAACACCCCCGGGATCCTGTTTGCTCAGGCGCCCCCTTGCCCGCGCCCTTGCCTGTGCACGTGCGGCCCCGCGCACCTTGAGCGTTTGGTCGCGAGACACCGACAGCAGCCAGTTGCCGTTCTGGTTCCACAGGGCCTGCGGTTGGGGGGCGTTGACCGCTTAGGGGTGGGTTTGACCGCGCAAGCGCGAGTTGACCGCGGGGTGGGCGCACAATCACAACGCCCCAAAAACGCGGAGGTGCAGAGCGAGGGGATACAGCTGAGCTGCCGCGCCCCTTGGGCGCGTCAGGCGCAAAAAGCATGGCGCTCTGCAAGCATTCTGCACGCCTGCGGCAACGCTTGCGTCCGGAGCCGGTGCTATCACCCAGGCGAGCGGTCAGCAGCGCGGCCACAGGCCGGCTGGGGAAGCGCGGGCACGCCGGGATGGGC